TTAACTGAAAATTATTCGAAATAATTATTTTGTTTTAGATATTTTAATAATAATATTCATTAGAGTATCTACTATCTGTTATTTAGATTGAACTAAATATAATTTCATTTTTCGGAATATCTTTAAGGAATTTTAGCCCGACATTTGCCTTCATGCATTCTTTTTAATAAGCAGAAACTGTAATAAAAACCTGGTAATTGGTAAATTATAAAAGTTTTCGAAATATTTTCAAAAATATTATTTTTACTAGCTTTGCTTTGCCTGTCTATATATAATATATATACTTTGCTTGCCTGTTTGAGTGTCTGTTTGTTTGTATCCAATAAACGTCAAAACGTCTGATTCGATCAGACTATATTTCAGGAAGCTTTTCCTCAATTATGAACCTAAGCAGTGTTTAAAAATAGCTTAGAAACGACACAATCCCTTTAGCATGATGCACTATACCCACTTTATAGTTCTTGGTTCCCGAAGAAAAATGAAGGTTTGGAGAGGTTCACTCACAAACATAATATCAAAATATATTTCTTTCTTAAAATATAAATAGAATATATTATTAAGGCTGGAAACTGAGAAAGTGTAAAATAACATTTTTATTCAACATTTACACTATATATAATATATTATATATATATGTATATAGATATATATATATATATATATTCATTGTTTAATTATTATCGTTCTGCATACTTTATTTTATACTGAGATTAAAGGGACAGTAAGCCTAATTTCACAACAGTACTTGTTACAAATTTGGCAGATCATTGAGGACAGAGATCTCAGTGTAAATATCTTTTAATATGCTGTGTAAAAAGCCGTAAAATTAGAATGTATTCTAGTGTATTGTACTCAACACGGATTGCGTCACATCTATTCCTGGAATATATAGAATATTTTATTCCTGGAAAATCTAGAATATTCTACGTCCAATCGCGGTTTTTAAAAATTTAAATGTGAATATTATCCTAGGCAGTAGATATTAATATTCCTTAAATATTTAATATAAAAGAGCTTCCAAACAAGTGTTAAACAATGCTTTTTGGAGTCACTGTAAGGGAGAGTCTGCACTCTGCATGTCATCCTTGATCAGTCAAAGGCCTTTTGAGGGTACCTTTGTGAATCCTTGATCAGTCAAAGGTTTAAAGGGTACTGTTGTGAATCCTTGATCAGTCAAAGGTTTAAAGGGTACTGTTGTGAATCCTGGATCAGCCAAAGGTTTAAAGGGTACCGTTGTGAATCCATTATCAGTCATAAGTTTAAAGGGTACCGTTGTGAATCCTTGACCAGTCAAAGGTTTAAAGGGTACCGTTGTGAATCCTTGACCAGTCAAAGGTTTAAAGGGTACCGTTGTGAATCCTTGATCAGTCCAAGGTTTAAAGGGTACTGTTGTGAATCCTGGATCACCCAAAGGTTTAAAGGGTACCGTTGTGAATCCTTGATCAGTCCAAGGTTTAAAGGGTACTGTTGTGAATCCTGGATCAGTGAAAGGTTTAATGGGTACTGTTGTGAATCCTTGATCAGCCAAAGGTTTAAAGGGTACCGTTGTGAATCCTGGATCAGCCAAAGGTTTAAATGGGTGCCGTTGTGAATCCTTGATCAGTCATAGGTTTAAAGGGTACTGTAGTGAATCCTGGATCACCCAAAGGTTTAAAGGGTACTGTTGTGAATCCTGGATCACCCAAAGGTTTAAAGGGCACTGTTGTGAATCCTGGATCACCCAAAGGTTTAAAGGGTACTGTTGGGAATCCTGGATCACCCAAAGGTTTAAAGGGTACCGTTGTGAATCCTTGATCAGTCCACGGTTTAAAGGGTACCGTTGTGAATCCTTGATCAGTCCAAGGTTTAAAGGGTACCGTTGTGAATCCTTGATCAGTCCAAGGTTTAAAGGGTACCGTTGTGAATCCTTAATTATTCCAAGCTGAAAGGGTACCGTTGTGAATCCTTGATCAGTGAAAGGTTTAAAGGGTACCACTGTGAATTGAGGATGTCCCTCTTTAAATGGAAGGTCCCTTGAAAGTACGTTAACAGTCCCTTTAATCAAGGAAAGTGTAAGCATGAACCACTTGTTAGCACACCAGGAGAACTAGAATCAATTTAGCAGAAACTCTTGGTCACACTCATAAATCCTAGAACTCCACCGGCCCTGGACGTACTATATATATATAGGACGTACTTACTACAGGACTAGATTAGTTCGGTTTCATTAAATTCAACAATCTTCAAACCTTCTTAATTCAAACTTACAGAGTTGTCTTGCTTTGCTTTTGTATCCGCCGGCTAAAAAGTATAAAAGAGAAGAAAAAAGTAAGATTTATGTTTAATTAGACAAAGGAATTAGTTTTTTAAGCAAACTCAAATTTTATTAACACTATATAATTGGAACCTGGTGGTGTAAGACTTTGATACTGGCTACATAATTTTGATTTTAATTTTAATTTTAAATATAAAACTATTGACAAGATGTAGAGTTTAAAAAAATCAGAGTTTGTTGCAAGAACTCAGTTCCAATTTGAATTAAAAGTGACAGTGTCACAAGGACACGTGGAATTAACGGTTCTGTCAATATTCCAGAAAACTATGCCTTTCGATCACAATTTGTCCCTTTAAAGATAATTTTTTAGCCTTTTGTCTTAAATACTTTTTTTGTCGGCATATGCATTTTGAATGAATAGTATAGTATATACAAATCCGTAAGGTAAAAGATTGTTGAATTATAAACCAAAACACGTTTGATTTAAAACCGAAGAAACCGAATGCTCCGCACTATGGTTAATCCTGGGTGAGGACTGAACCGTTATTTCAGTGTTTTCCGTTCTGTTCCTTGATCTGTTCCTGATCTTTCAGTCACAGTGATCTAAAGGATGTAAGCTCTCACGTAAAAATTATAAGAATTTTCTCACTACTTCTGCTATAATAATACTAAAATATACATGTCTAAGGCTACAAGAAAAAGTATAAGTGAGTTAAATTAAAACCCAAAGTTTTGCGACACTTAAAGTCGATCCATGTCTTGAAAATTGATGCAACCTTTCAGAGCAGTCTGGATCTATGTGAGGTTGCTCAGAGCAGTCTGGATCTATGTGAGGTTGCTCAGAGCAGTCTGGATCTATGTGAGGTTGCTCAGAGCAGTCTGGATCCATGTGAGGTTGCATAAAATTTAAAACCATGATTGATAAAACGTCAAGGCGGTACAAAACCAAACCCCCTAAAGAGTTGTCCATCTATGGACCATGGGTGGGAAATCTATTATTCAAACAAAAAGTGAATTTTTAATTTTGATGGTGCAAAGGAAAAGTTTTTAAAACTTTTTTTTATTCTAGAAATTCTGAACAGTCGAGAGAGAGGTTTGTGCAGTTGAGAGAAAAATACTAAAATGCCAATCCTGATTCTTTGATATAAGAAGAAAAAGAATACCCCCCTTACCTTTACACAATTTACACAATTCGATATAACCTACACAACAATGTGCAATTAATTTGTATTCCTACCCTCGTAATGGAGTTGGGAAATAGAAAATGTTCCTCGCTGTCTAAAAACAAGAAATTTATTTTAACAAAGCATATTTTTACAACTTAACACGTGGAATTTGTCTCACAATACGAAAGGAATTGAGTCTTTGCCACAAACTCGGATTTTTAAATCCCAATTTCTTTAAAACCAAATGTCGTAGACCGTAGATGTTTCAAACTATGAATTCTGGTGGATTAAACAATTTAAGTTTGAAATATGAAAGGTAAGCATCATCTGGTTGTTGAGATTTTGGTATTATAAAATTGGAATTTGTGACAAAAACTCAATTCCTTTATGTACATTTTGTAAAGGTAAATAACAATGTATAAATGTAGATACATATACAAGTTTATTTTGAATGTTTACATATAACTTTTCTTACAATTATAACATTACAAAAGTAAAGAATTAAGTTGAGTTGACTAAATTTAATAAAGATGCATTTAATCCTTTTTAATTTTTGTTGTTTTAAATTTTTGGAAACTTGACTTCTCAAGCGACCCTCACAAACAAAATCATTTAAAAGTACATATTAAAAAATCCAAAATGTCCAGTTATATACATGAGCATAAGTATTTTTGGTCCAAATAAAAAAATATTTTTATTTCCATAAAATTCGGATATTCTTCTTATTAAATCTCGTTAGTTTCTTCAGAAATGTTTTTTTTAAATTTACAGAATAAATAAAATCATCGGAAACTTTGAATCCCAAAGCAGTATTCGCTTAAATAATTGTAGTTTTTTTGTGGTCAAATAATATTTTATTTTTTGTTGGTCAACGCATAAAGGAATTAAGTCTTTGCCACAAACTCAAATTTTCTAATTTCTATATCGTTGAAACTTGATAATGGAAACCTTTTATATTTCAAACTAAAATTAATTGATCCAACAGAACTTAAAGTTTGAAATATCTAAGGTTACACGACAATATGTTGCACATTTATAGGGATTTGAAAATTAGAGTTTGTGGCATAGACTCAATTCCTTTATAACAGCCAGTGCAGTATTCTTTCATAATCATCGAATAATGATTTACAGTGTTCATTACTGTGCTTAACATTGCACTAATTTTATTCTTTAAAAAAAGGGTTTGTTAAAAGTGGTATCAGATAAATCATTACTAAACTGTATTTTGGATGTCTGTGTGGAAAGGTTATTAAATTTTTCTTGACAAAAAAAACTACACTGAAATCGACCAAGATTTTGCCCATTCCTCCTTTCAATTAAGCGAAAGAAACACAATTGTTGCAGTTTTAGAATATACATTTCCATGGCTACAGAAACGTTTGAGTAAGTTTGCAATACTTTTAAGTCGACGCAGCCTACAAAGGAATTGAGTTCTGGCCACAAACTTTAATTTGTAAACCCAATGGTGTATACTTTCAATTTCAAACTTAGATTACTTTATCTAACAGAACTCATAGTTAGAAATATCAAAGGGCTACGACATTGGGCTGCAAAGATAAAGGTATCAGAAAATACTACCATTTTAATTTTAAACACCTTTTTAAAGAAAACTCCCTTTAAGGCGTGAAAATCTTGGATTTATTTACAATAATAGCAACTGTACAGATCTGTTCATGATCACCGTATAACAACTGTCGTTAGAGTTTCTTTAAACAAGAAAATCTTGGATTTATTTACAATAATAGCAACTGTACAGATCTGTTCATGGTCACCGTATAACAACTGTCGTTAGAGTCTCTTTAAGGCGTGAAAATCTTGGATTTATTTACAATAATAGCAACTGTACAGATCTGTTCATGATCACCGTATAACAACTGTCGTTAGAGTTTCTTTAAACAAGAAAATTTATAGATATTGGAAGAACATTTCTAATTATCGCGCCATAGAGAGGAAATACTATTCACAGAGCGATCATTCTACCATTCTTTGGTTTAGATAAAGATGAAAAGTGAGGACACAAACAAGGCAAGGTTTGAGAAGGTTGGGTTGGAAGAAGAGGAGGATAAACTGAACAAGGGAACATATTTCCTCTCATCCCTTGACATGGAGAACATCGTTGGGTAAACCATCTCCGAGTAGGTGGAGAAGGACAGGGTTGGACTATACGGAGAAACTCCAAGACGGGTTCGACTCCGGACTCGGCTCTCATACACTGTACCGTAGTTTAATCCACGGAGAACGTATCTTTGGGTCTCACTCTAAACATAAAATAATTAAACAGAATGTTCTTGAAAAATCAAAATATTGAGCAAAGAACTATTTTTAGGGGTTTCAGGTTTAAATTCAATTCTCTTTTGAAAAACATTGAAAAGAAATAAAAAAATTCAAAATTTATCTTTTGGCTTCACTATCCCTAGACAATTTTGATGAACACTCCATTTAAACAGAAAAAATTTTACGAGAAAAATTAGTTAATAGAACTTTTCAAGAACTTTATAAACAAATTAGATATTCTTAGTTTTGTTGTTTCTCTCTCAACCAAACCTGAAGAAAAAGAAATATTGGATTTACCTCAAAAGGAACAACAAGAGAGATCCAGTCTTCACCCGACCCAGAGACAGGTTTCAATCTGAACTCCAGTATATAGTTGATTATGGGGAGTCGGCTATATCCAGTCCAACGTAGAGTTTGTTGACTAGGACTTATTCGATCTTGCTCCGGGTCCCAGGTTGGGGGCGGAGGAAGCTGGGATACAACAAGGTTCTGACTCTCCCGTTCTACTCCTTGGTTTATCAGGTTACAGGAGTAGTTGCCTAGAAACTCTTCTCCCATATGCTGAACCCGGAGAACAAACTCTTGTTTATGTCTCCTGTAACTTCTCAAATCCTGAGATTCAAGAACAGGACTTCCGTCCTTCTCCCACTTCACGTTTACGTCCTTGCTCCGTCCTGTACAGACCTTGCAGGACAGTATAAGAGGTTTCCCTAATTCAGCTTCTACATGAGATCTTACTTTAACAAGCTCAGGTTCACCTACAAACATAGATATAAATATAATACACAGATGATAATAAAATCAATAAAAACAACATTATTTTTATATATAATATATTCCAAATTATAAACTCTGTTAGATCAAATAGTCGAAGTTTTAAATATGAAAGGTTTTATTTATTGTTAATACTCAACTTTTACAGTAAAAGTACTTCAAACAAAAATATGTGAATGAATAAATTGTTCCCTAACTATAAATTACAAAATTAAAGCATTTGACCCAGAAATTTACATTTTTCTTTGTAGTCTAGTATGATTAAAACAAAAATGGAAATCATATTCGTTGATTTACTTAATTGTTATACATTTAGATACAACAAATGCGATTAGTAGAACAAAAATTCGCTTTTATGTTTCTATTTTCCAAATTGAATTATGGTCTATCCAAAATATACAAATTATGCGAGTTATTGAAATAAAGATAAATATTTATATTTTTAGATTAATGTTTTACCATACTTGATCATATTTATTTAAAGGATTCTTCCACAATTTTGATTATAAAGTTAATCTCCTGTTCAACGAAATAACCAACCTTAAATTCCCTCCTTTTTTAATTCCAGGGAGAATAATTACTTATCCTCCCTATTCACAGGGAGGATAATTACTTATCCTCCCTATTTACAGGGAGGATAATTACTTATCCTCCCTCTTTACAGGGAGGATAATTACTTATCCTCCCTATTTACAGGGAGGATAATTACTTATCCTCCCTATTTACAGGGAGGATAATTACTTATCCTCCCTCTGTGATCCATACAGATTTAATTCAAGATTTAGATCAAGAAATTAAATATTCTTCCATAAGCATTAGTAAGAAATAAGAGAATTAAAATCATAATTGATAGTTTTATTGATTTCATTATTATTTTATCCCCCACGGTTGGTTATTTCGTTGAACAGGAGATTAAACGATAAATTACTACTTAACCGGGAGTTTTCATGAAGATAATTAAATTGAGGGGGAAACCACTTAGCCTTGGGCCTTCTCGACCTTTTTGGGGTTCTAAACCTCCCTCGCTACGCTCCCTTAATCTCCCGGTTAAGTAGTAATTAATAGTTATAATCACAAAGGATAAGACTCAGGGGCGAATACAAGTTTGTCCAGTTGAGTATAATTTTACAAATCCAGGGGAACTGAGCCCCAATAGCCCCCCCTGTATATGCTTCTGAATTGAGTGTAATAAATGTATTCTGTCTTTTTTTACATTTATGATTATTCTTCAACCATAAAAATTGTCAAATTTTCTTATAAGGCAATGCAAGACTAAAAGATTGTCTGAGTTGTTGTCTTAGTTTCAAAAATAGATTTATTTCCAAATATGTAAACAATTTATTAAATTTTTTATTCATCTTCGCTCATATATATTTGCTCGCTATAGCTGGCCAAATGGCGAGACAAATCAGCTGATTTTTTTAGGAAACTCATGAACATTGGGCATCCCGATTCCCAGGCTAAACATTTGACAGTTAACGGGCAACGCCGGGCACTCCAGCTAGTTGTTGATAAATCATGATTTTTTTATTGCTGAACAGTGTTTGTTTCTTTTCTTGAAATCTCCATTTTGATGAGAATGGCAATAATACTGGTAATAATATACCTTGTCCCATAAACAGTGTGCTAAAACAGTTACAAACTTCCAAATAGAGATATATGTGATATTTTGTTACAGAGAATTTCACAGGAATTGGCTAGATAGGTCTTACTTTCTTTTAGATAAAAAAATAAAAAAAAATATTAAAGGGATAGACCGGATATGTAAGGTAGTTGAACTGAGTATGCAGTGTTGTGTACTAATTCTCTAGGAATCATTTGAGACATAAACAACTTTTTAAAGATCAGTAAATCCTGAGTTTGATCGCAAAGACGACATTCAAAATCGTTCTTTTGGGTGGATACGTTTTCAGAAATATTTTTTTTAAATAATTAAATAACGACGACAAAAAACGTAAACAAAATTCTATAGTAAACTAATTAGTTGTTTAGGAACATGTTGAGAAAATCAAAATTAATCTTTTCATCGAAAATAAGTAATGTTGTTCAATTATTAGTTTCTATTTTCTCATCATTCTAGTTTCTCATTATTCACAAAGATTTTCTGCAGATTTTCTGCAGATTTTCTGGAATTATTATTGAAAAGACGACATTTAAAGAATTTGTAGAAATCTGCGAATAATTTTATAGAAAATAAGAAATTCAATGTAATGATGAAAACGAAATGATTCATTCAAGCATTGATTTATTGACAAATTTCTTTTGAGAAATATGTTCCTAATCATCTAATTAGTTTACTGTATAATTTTTACTTTATTTTTCGTCGTCGTTATTTAATAATTTTAAGAACCGATTCTGAAAACGTAACCACCCAAATTCATGATTTTGAACGTTGACTATGCGCTCAAACTCAGTAATTATACATCGTGGAAAAGTTTAATATATATCACAAATGAATTCTAAAGAATTTGTCCACAAAACTGGACACTCAGTTGAACTTCATTACATAGCTGGTCTGTCCCTTTAACGCACAGTTTTCGATACAATTGAATGATCTACTACTATTAATATCATTCATATATGTTCTAAGTTTAGTGAAATTCCAATATGAAAATTCTATAATTTTGTTAAAAATTCAATAAATTTTAAACAATTTCTAAATTCTCATTCAGTTTTGAGCTCAAAGCAATAACGTTTAAAGATTAATTATTGAAAGTTTTTTCTTCTTGAACATTGTTGTCAGATGGATGAGAGGGGAAGGGAGACGGGAAAAAGAGGGCAGGTGGTAAAGGAGAGCAAAGGAGAGGGAAGCAATAGGTGAGAGGAAAAAAAGGGAGAGGGAAAGGGAGAAAGGGAAATTGGGGTTAGAAGGGAGGCGGGGAAAAGAAGAAGGAGGGGACAGGCTGAAATGAAAGGAGAGGCAGAGTTGTCGGAAAGGGGAAGGAGGAGAGAAGATAGTTAAGAAAAGGGGAAGAAAAGGGAAGAGGAAAGAAGAATATATTTGAAGGGGAAAGAAAGAGAAGAGAGGAGGGGGATGGGAAAGGGAAAGGGAATAAGAAGGTAAATTGGAGAGTGACAGAGTGAGACGAGAGAGGAAGGATTTGGGAGAAATAAATAGAGAATATGGGAAATTAGGGAAAAAGGAGTAAAAAAAGGGAGAAAAGAGTAGGAAAGGGGGAAAGAAGGGGAGTATGGGGATAGTAAGAAGAAAAAAGGTTGAAAGAAATAGAAAAAGGGAAAAAAGGAAAGTAGGGGGGAAAGGAAGAAGAAAAGAGGTAGAAAGGAATGGAAAGAGGGAAAGAAGGGGAGTTGGGAGAAAGGAAAGAGAAAAGGGGGAGAAAGGAGTAAAAAAGGGTGAAAGAAGGGGAGTTGGGAGAAAGGAAAGAGAAAAGAGGGAGAAAGGAGTAAAAAAGGAAGAAAAAAGGGGAGTTGGGAGAAAGGAAAGAGAAAAGAGAGAGAAAGAAGGGGAGTTGGGAGAAAGGAAAGAGAGAAGAGGGAGAAAGAAGTAAAAAAGGGAGGAAGAAGGGGAGTTGGGAGAAAGGAAAGATAAAAGAGGGAGAAAGGAGTAAAAAAGGGAGAAGGAAGGGGAGTTGGGAGAAAGGAAAGAGAAAAGAGGGAGAAAAGAGTAAAAAAAGGGAGAAAGAAGGGAAGTTGGGAGAAAGGAAAGAGAAAAGAGGGAGAAAGGAGTAAAAGAAGGGGAAAGAAGGTGAATAGGAAAGGGAAGGAGGGAGGGAGAAAAGATTAAAAAACAGGGAGAGAAGGAGAGACTTAATAAAAGCTTAGTTTGATAATTCTGTAAAGTTTTGAAACCAAGGAAATTGTTATTGTTTGTATAGGTTGACCACGAAACCTCTAGTTTGGTTTACAAACTTTACATCTTTAAAGGACCACTGCACGAAAATATATATTTCCAAGAACATTTACTTTATTTATTTACAGTTCTTAAAAACCTAAAGAGAACGTAATTTTGGTAAAAATAATTCATGGGTTCGTTAAAGACCATTCCTTAAGGTCGAACTGTGCTGTCTACAAAGGAAAAAAGAAAGCTTTAAACCTTAAAAAAATATATTAATTTCGGTTTTGTTGAAAACTATTATGTGTTTATGCACCGCAGCTTAACATTTATAGTGAATTGAGACTTCTAGAATCCAACTTTTATTCCATATATTCTTATTAGTCATTAGTTCACAATTATATAAATCAAGTAATCATGTCAAATTATGTCATTATGTCATCATGTCATCATGTCATCATGTCATTATGTCATTATGTCATCATGTCATCATGTCATTATGTCATTATGTCATCATGTCATCATGTCATGATGTCATTATGTCATCATGTCATCATGGCATTATGTCATCATGTCATGATGTCATGATGTCATGATGTCATTATGTCATTATGTCATCATGGCATCATGTCATCATGTCATCATGTCATTATGTCATCATGTCATTATGTCATTATGTCATCATGTCATCATGTCATCATGTCATCATGTCATCATGTCATTATGTCATGATCAGAGGTCGAAACTTTTGTACAAAGTGTCGTTAATCTTGATGTTATCCCTGAAAGGTTTAAGTAAAGTTTAAGATATCCCTGAAGAGTATAACCACCACGGGATATCGAAGAGAAAGGAATTAAGTTCTAGCCACAAACTATGATTTTCTAATCCCTATATCTTTGCAATCCAATGTCGTAGACCTTAGATATTTCAAACTATGATTCCTAAATTATTAGTTAATGTAAGTTTAAAATATCTAAAATTTACACCATCAAATTGCAAAGATATATGGATGGGAAGATTTGAGTTTGTGGCAAAGACTTAATTCCTTTAATTACTCCAGCTGGTCTGGAAAATATGGAGATCATTGAAACATTGAATACAATTTTAAGTGGAACCAACCATATTTGAGCCGCGTCTTAAATTTTAGCCGCGGCTCAAATTCTTTAAATTCGGCCTCAGTTCTACTTCTGATTTCTTTTTTATAACAACATTTGGTTGTTTTACCTTAACCTCGAACAAATAATTCGATTGGTTGAATTAAGCAGTTTCTTAAATAATCTCTTGATACTTTTATTGATTGTGGATACCATATTTTAGACACAAGACAAGGAAAGATCTTGAAAACGTTAATTTTAAGAAAATTTCCAATATTTGCGATTTTGAACTTAAATATGTAAATTATTATTTAAACAAAAATAATAAATTCATTTGAAAGTCAAAAGTTTTAAGGAATAATTGATATTAAATTGTTCATATTTTTCAATAAAATCTTGAAAATCGACTTTAAAATAAAGTAAAGTAAATATTTTGTGAGGGGGGAACAGTGGGGTATTTTAAGGGGTAAGGGGGGGGGGTAGATGACTGGTTTTTGTCACAATACTCCTATTAAAATGCATTTGTCTTGTGTTTCATGGTGAGAATGGAAATTTTCATTTACAAACATTGTATCAATTGTGGCTTGCATTGATTTATAATGATATGAATTTGTAATTACTTTTCCCGTTCATATATTTATCCTTGAATGGATCCTGTAAATTCGCAATATATTTAGAATGTCGTCTTTGTTAAAGCTAACTATTTTGGGGAAAAACGTATATTTTCAGCTTTTTTTTACACAAAATTACAACGGATTCAGGATAATCTAGATAAATAAATAGATTCAAACAACCATTAATCAAAAATTTCAGAGACTTCTCTCAAATAAATTATTCATGCGACCGAGCCTTATTCGACTTGAATAAGAGGTTTATGGTGTATGAACTCAATATTACTGACCCCCCCCCCCTGATACCCATTTGTGGGGGGAGGCTTCTTAAAAAAACCTCTGGTGTTAAATTTCCAACCCGAGAACTTTGATGCAGAAACAGAAAACAAAGTAAAAGGATTTTACAGGAATAAAGAAATTGAATTTTAACTCTGCAAAGATAAGAAAAATCAAAAAGAACAATAATAATCATCTAGAAAACAAAACAACCTTTTTATAGATATGACTACAAATGCAAAAAAGACTGAAGGCAAAGCTGTACAATCTAAATACTAAACAGAATTTAGTCCTCGTAAGTTTTCATGTGGATAAACTTAGTCTTTGCTATCTTCTTCACCCTGTAATTCATAAACATGATTCTAATAATATATGTTAACCTCTGTTACAACCCTTCCGCTGAGTACCCACCCTTTCCCTTATACTTGTTCACCCTCTCCTTACCTTATTCATGATTTATCATCATATTTACAATTCTTATTCGCTTATAATTGGCAAACCACATAAAACAACCAAGTCTGGTTAGGCGGGTCCAAACTACATAGTAAATTGTGATTTTTTATTTGTATTATCTCGTGCTTTGTAGTTAAATAAAAATATGAATATGAAAAGAAAATTCTCAAATGTTGCCTCGATGAACATCGTTATTTAAAAACAATGTCTACACAACAGCACAGTATCAAGAATTAAAAACTAGAAATGTGACATTACTGGTTCAACTTTGTGAGCTTGTAGCTCTTCTAGCCAAACTATGAGAAAAAGATGATTTGGCTGTATACTTTTTTTTCTTGTCAAATATCTATCACTTTAAAAAAAGCAAGGGTTATGATTGAAAACATATAAGTTTTTATATTAACGTGAAAGGAATTGAGTATTTACCACAGACTTAAATTTTCTGATGCGTATATTTTTGCAACCTGTTGGTCACTGTGATCTTGCAAGACTACATTTGCTGCATAAAACGTATTGGGTCGACTCTTCGCTGGACAGTACGATTGAATGCATATACAGTACATGTTGTACCGGCAAGGATCATGTAACTTTCATATTGGAGTGGTGGTGTAAACCTTTGATATTTCAAGCTTAGAATATTTGATCCAACAGATTTCGTAGTTTGAAATATCTGAGGTCTACGAAATTGGGTTTCCAAGATATAGGAATTAGAAAATCAGAGTTAGTGGCAAAAACTCAATTCCTTACGTTCATCATCCGTAAAATACTGTTAACCTTCACAGTCTCACAAAAATATTACCTTTATGCGAACTGCATTCTTTCAGATCTCCGTAGGTCAGCAAAGTTTCATTTCCTAAAATATTTAAAATAATCAAAACTTATTTAAGAAATCCAATAAAATCAAAATTTAAAGAACTAGAAATTCAAGGCGCTTCGCGCCCTTCTTTCTAGCCTGAGAGGGCGCTTCGCGCCCATCTTCTAAATTAGTTCTGAACATGTTCTCTTTGTGTACATCGTAAAACAAAACAAAAATAATTCGCGGATTTTTACAAAAAATTTCGCGGATTTTCAAAATTTTTAAAAATTTAATGACGATCGAATTTTGATAGAGACAAATATTTGAAATTTTGATTTTTCATAAACCTTCCCTGGGGTCCCTAGATGTCACACAAAAAATTTGGGCCCGATCGGTTCAGCCGTTTTGACGTTTATTGGATACAAACAAACAAACAAACAAACAAACAAACAGACAAACAGACAAGCCAAATTTATATATAGAAGATGGGAAGACCCAAGATTTTGCTATATATTTAAAGTATGTCCGAATAAATCAACAATAAACGATGCCATAAAAAAGAATTTTAAGGAATCTAAATTAGATTATTTTATGATTATGACAACTTGTCAGATTTCTTAACCTGCTTTTGGTTTTAAATTTCTGATCTGATTCTGAACTGCTTTTATAAATTCCAAACTCAAGATCAATATTTTCATAGCATCATATTCATAGCATAATATTCATAGCATCATATTCATACCATCATATTCATAGCATCATATTCATAGCATTATATTTCTTTATCATTATTTAGTGAAGTTTACAGAGGTTTTTTCAATGATTTTAATTTAATGATTTTGTCAAAAATTTTGAAAATGAACTGGTTTTTGAAAATTTATAAGAGTCATCTTTTTTCCGTATCTTTTAACAGGGAACAAGGCTTATCTCAAAAGAACCCAAACTTCTTTGTAAATTTTAAAATAAATTTGACAAAATATCTATTTCTAAAACAGGAATTTTATTTAGGAAAATAGAAATCTCGGGACTTTGCCATTTGGTTCTTTGATCTTGTGTCAATACAATCCTTTTGTATAAATTCTAATTGCACAAAGTTTTTTAAGTTTTGCATACATTCCTTTAAACTTAATTCGAACTAGAATTTAAACTTAAAATAAACATAATTTGCATTTTGTCCCTTTAACTTATATCTTGTGTGAAATATTTTAATATTTTCTTTTCCTTCGAAAATACATTTTTTCCATTAAAAGTTGATTTGTTAAAAATGTTGACATATAAAGGAGTTATCAATCAATCAATCACGAGATTTTTACTTCAGATAGGTTTTCATTGGTGCTACACAATAAATTGAGGCTTTGCAAAAAAAAAAAATAGGCTAAAACTATTAGATAAATTGAAAAAAAAATCTTCATGAGAATTTCCCTGAAAAGAATAAGGCCACTGAAAAAAGGTAAACACGTCGACACACAAACAATTGGTCTGTGTATGTAATAAATGCGGAAATACATATTACGCGGATTAAAAAATTAATAAACACAACTTTTGTTTGCCTTTTTTTGTTTACATGTGTTTTAAATGAAAGGTTTAAAAAGATAAAGATTGGTGAATTAAAGAAAAAAAAACGCGATTAAATTCAAATAGAAGAAACCGAAGAAATCTAGTTTTTCTTTTTAAAAATTCTGGGAACAAAGTAGGAAATCTGCGAAATTTTTCATTGTTTTTATTTTTAAATGTAAGAAATTATTATGATTAGCAACAGAAGACTAATTAACTAAGATGATGTCTAGAAAATGACCTGCAAAACCTACTCAATTCAGAAAAAATTATAATTTGGTCAAAAAGATTCAAAGAAACGCTTAAAAAACATGGAAGAAATTTGAATATTCATTAATATTTTTCCTCATCGCTGGAGGCTTTATTCAAATAATTTATAGGATTCTTCTATATATATATATATATATATAATATTTATGGAAGAAAATTCTATTGGTTTTCAAGTTTCATCAAGAGAGCTCTTGGTTAGTTTAAATCATTATCTAATTTCCTAGAAGGAGAACATTTATTTTGAGAGGTGAAGAGAAAAGTTTTTAAAGAAATATTCGTGAAAAAAAGACAGTTAGATAGTAAATATTTAGCTATATAACTAAATATCAAATTTAGGTAGTTAACAGCAACTGTATAGTTCTTTTAACTTTATAAAAAAAAATGTCGTTTCAATTAAGAAATTTAGTGTTTGCCACAAACTCAAAATTTCTCAAGCCTGCATATATCTTTGAACCCTAGATGAGTAAACCTTTGATATTTCATACTTAGATTATTTGATCTAACAGAATTCATAGTTTGAAATATCTAAGGCTTACGACATCAAGTTGCAAAGAAATAGGGGTTAAGAAATCAGAGTTTGTGACAAAGACTCAATTCCTTTTAAGAAAAATTTGAATAATAAAATCTAAACGTGAAAACTTGGATTTTATGAAAAGGAACTTTAGTCGAATTTCAAGACTGTAAAAATACCGAGAGAGATAATATTAATACTCTCAAACTTAATTTGAAATTTAAAGTTTTTTGATTAAAATTTGCAAAAAAAAATTTGATTTGTTTTAAAAAATGTGAAACTCTTCATGTCATAATTAGATATTTTCAAACCATAGAAACAGACAAAATTATCTAAGTCAAAGTTTGTGTAATGTGTTTATACTTTATTCAATAATCCCATTTTTCAAACTGAAGAAAATCTAAAATCTACAAGACGAAAATCTGTCATTTAAAAACCCACACGTACAACTTGCTTTAAATTTTTTTAGTCAAATTCTGTTTTTAATGTTTTTTCTTCTTCTAAAAATAAACATTAAATATCTATCAGAAATTAAACAGTTCTACATTATCATTTATTGCGGATAAAAGACTAAGAAAACACAATTGTTCTTGAATCTATTTCTTCTAAATAAATTACATTTACATTTGATTCAGATCGATTCGATAAATCTTTTAAAGAAACTAGTTTTTAATAAAATTATAAGAGATCCAGGAAAAATGAGATAAAAACTTAAAGAGTACTATTTCAATGGTATTTCCTTTTCAAATCTGCGAGAAGGAAGAATGCCTTCATGTTTATCTTTACAAATTCTATACAATATACATATATTCCTTTATATGATATTCCTTTCCTTTACAACCAACATTAATTTTCAATTCTATCATCTTCGGTAAATAATGTAGATTAGAGAATATATATTCACTTCAATATTTTTATTCTTAAAATCATTATACTCAAGAGGCTTCTGAATATGTACAGCTGTACAATTGCATCTACTGCTTCATGTGCATTGTTGAAAATGTACAAAACCTTAATTGAAAATGAACAAAAAATTCATGTTATTTAGTTGTAAAGATTTTTTCTTGTAATTGATAATTGAATATATCCAGGTGTACAGCTTACGAAGCTAAAACTAAAAAGGTGTTTTTTCTCAAGAAGTCGGAACTCTTGAATTAGTTTCTGCAACACATAAACTCTATCTTTACAACTGAAACCTTTAATCCATGGCACAGACAAAAAGCATCAAATAGTGTCTAGGCAAAGATGTTAAACCTTTGCGCTGAAATTGTTAATTGGCTTTTTTCTCCGGACATGCATATCTTTGAAAAATAAGACCAATACCAATCAATAGCTAATAAGCTCTTAATTTTACCATGAAATCTATATATAAATTTAGCTTGTCTGGGTGTCTGTCTGTTTGTTTGTTTGTTTGTATCTAATAAACGTCAAAACGGCTGAACTGATCGGGCCCAAATTTTTTGTGGGACATCACGTGACCACAGGGAAGGTTTATAAATGATAAAAAATTTTTAAAAAATGTGTTTTAACGGTTTTTAATTTTGTAAAAAAATTTAAATTCTTGAAAATCTGCGAATTTTTTTTTAAAAATCCGCAAAATTTTTTTCTTAACCCGTGGAAACCAACTGACTTGTATTTTTGCCGAGAACAAATTTTTAATGGCTTCTGATTAGTCGGAACTTTAGTGATATTTGGAAGGAATTCACTTAATCCGTCGAACTACTAAACATACGGATTAGTGTATGCTTTCTGAAGGAATAAGTAATACAAAAATTGTTGACCCTAAAATTCTGAATAAGGAAAAAAAATATTAAACCTGCGTTCAACACTATTTAAAAGTTAATTTAAAGATTTTAAAGAAACATTTAATTTTTCAAAATTGTTTGACATGTAATTAATTTTAACAAGATACTTTAATCAATTTAATATTAACTGATTTATTTTCTACCTTTTAATAATGAGAGAATAATTAGAAGAATATAAACTGGAGTCTTCATCCTGCTCACACCTTACTTAAACCTTTCTCACTGATAACAAACTGTAGTGTTGAGGCGGCAGGTTGGAGAGAAGAATTCGGACTGAGACTATACTCCGAACCCTGTATCTGAGTGTAGGGCGAACACTGAGGATTTCAAGCTCCGGATACCGGGTTCCAGGAGGGGTTCATCTCAGGGTTTGATTCACGAAAAGGATTTGGTTGAAGAAAGGTTTAGATAGTAGAGTTTTTCTCTTTGGATCAAGATCAAGAAAGATTTTGATATCTAAGTTTAGATCAAGTGTTGATTATATTCTGGTTGGGTTAGGATCCAGTATATGTTGATATCTGAGTTTAGTTCAAGTATTGTTTATATTCTGGTTAGGTTCTGATCAAGTAAGATGTTGATATCTGAGTTTAGATCAAGTATTGTTTATATTCTGGTTAGTTTCGGATCAAGTATTGTTTATATTCTGGTTAGGTTCGGATCAAGTAATGTTTATATCTGAGTTTAGATCAAGTATTGTTTATATTCTAGTTCGGTTCGGATCAAGTAAGTTGTTGATATCTGAGTTTAGATCAAGTATTGTTTATATTCTAGTTCGGTTCGGATCAAGTAAGTTGTTGATATCTGAGTTTAGATCAAGTATTGTTTATATTCTAGTTCGGTTCGGATCAAGTAAGTTGTTGATATCTGAGTTTAGATCAAGTATTGTTTATATTCTAGATCGGTTCGGATCAAGTAAGATGTTGATATCTGAGTTTAGTTTAAGTATTGTTTATATTCTAGTTCGGTTCGGATCAAGTAAGGTTGGAAAAAAATGTCGTTAATGTTAATGACATAAGAACAAAACAAGAAAAACAGAAAGCAAAATTTTAGAAATTATTGAAATTGTGAAAATTTAAACATTTAAAAGGACCTTATAAGAAACAGACAATAAAGGAACAGTATATCCCTACAAATATATGATTGCATTTTTTGAAGAGTGTGATAAAAATGCATAATCTATATATATACTTTGCTTGTCTGTGTGTCTGTCTGTCTGTCCGTTTGTACCCAATAAACGTCAAAAACGGCTGAACTGACCAGGATCAAACTTTTTGTGGGACCTCACGTGAACCCAGGGAAGGTTTATTAATGAGCGAATTTTTAAAAATTTGCCACTCACAAAAAGATTTGTTAGTGGCAAATTTTACAATGTTTACAAAGAGAAAATGTTCACAATTAAAATAGAAGATGAACCTTAAAGCCTGGTATTCTATATTTTCCTAAAAACGTAATAAACTTCTATTGTTTCCTTATTCATGAAGAAGGAAGATGTTTTCTTTGCTTTTACTGTATTGATGTTAGTACTGAATATACACCTTAATAAAAGACTGTCCTGGAAACAAATATTTCTATTGTTTTATTTTCTGCATAAATATTAGATCTTCAAAAGAACAAATAGGACTAAATAAACATATCGACGAAATTTCACGTGACCCTCCATTTAAACAAGAGTCATGACCAATTTACAACGGTCCAATTAAAACCTCGGAATGAGCACCAACAATAAAAATAAACTTTAATCTGGGAATTGCTTATTTTTAATTTGGTTTCTCTGTATTTAAAAGTGACTTGTAGATATGTGCAGCGGTACGGTGACAAAAATATTATTGTCATAATATAATACATTTACACGCAGATTTAACAGTTCAGTCTTGATCCAAACAAGCTCCTGACCTTTAATACGTGGAACTAGTGAGTCCCTTTAATACCTTTAATACGTGGAACTAGTGAGTCCCTTTAATACCTTTAATACGTGGAACTAGTGAGTCCCTTTAATACCTTTAATACGTGGAACTAGTGAGTCCCTTTAATACCTTTAATACGTGGAACTAGTGAGTCCCTTTAATACGTGGAACTAGTGAGTCCCTTTAATAACTTTAATACGTGCAACTAGTGAGTCCCGTTAACACCTTTAATACGTGCAACTAGTGAGTCCCTTTAATACCTGCAACTAGTGAGTCCCTATAATACCTTTAATACGTGCAACAAGTCCCTTTAATACCTTTAATACGTGCAACTGAAGAAAGGTGATCTAGCAACAACAACAACCTGAAGTCAGAAATTTTGATGACCCACGGATTAATTAATTTCTCTTCAATATCCCGTAGTAGTCCTACCCAGGAAGGATAACTAAGACGAAGAGATCAAGCATTGATCCGTTAATTTGAAAGTGCCCAGATTGGATGTCGAGACCAAGCGTTCAAAATAAAGGATACTCAACACAATAGGACCGACCTCTATATCTATGTTATCAGTTAGAAACCCTTATAAAATACAGTTGAAGGGTGGAATGAGTGACATTAAAATCTACCTGGAAGGTTTTAAGAAATTTTAGTGACATGTTTGGCAGGTTAGAAAATTGAAAATTTGGTTGAGAAAACCTGGAGAAAATGTTAAATGTAAATTTAAACTAAAGATCTCATTTATTTGATACATCAGTGCATATGTGCAAAATCAATAACAATAAGACATACTTAAAAGTTTTTAAAAAATTTAAAACTGGAATTTAGCAAAGAATGTGTGCCCTTACTCACGAAAGTAATGTGTGTGAAAATATTCAAAATGAGTATAAAAATATTGAAGTAGGCAGAAGATTTATTGAGCTATTTGCATATGTACATTGTACAGTTTATGTACACTATATACAGTATATCACCGCGGTAAAAATATCCCAAAACTATGAGACATCATATTTCAGAAATAGTTAAAAAGAAACTTAAATATCCAAATAATTTTAAAAAACTGAAATATCCATATCAGGGGCATCCTAGACAAAAAGACATGAAATTTAAAAAAATAACCAGACAGATCCAAACTAGGGGCACCCTAGACAAGAAGACATAAAATTTAAAAAATAACCAGACAGATCCAAATTAGGGGCATCCTAGACAAGAAGACATAAAATTTAAAAAATAACCAGACAGATCCAAACTAGGGGCACCCTAGACAAGAAGACATAAAATTTAAAAAATAACCAGACAGATCCAAATCAGGGCACCCTAGACAAGAAGACATGAAATTTAAAAAATAACCAGACAGATCCAAATCAGGGGCATCCTAGAAAAGAAGACATGATATTTAAAAAAACTAAAAGAGCCGAATTAGGGGCACCGTGTTCAGAAGACATGATTTTTATGAAGAATAAAAAACGATATTACGTGCAACCTTAACCAAGCCCAGTGGCTCAATATTTTGTATTCAATCCATAAATGTTTACTCTAGTCATAAACTGAATCCTAGTTGACAAATAAAGAGAATATAAACATAAAGAACTGCAGGATATTGGATATTTAAAAAGAATAGATCTAGATATTCTCATCTATTATCTCAATCTCACCGTATGTATTTATATACCCGGAGAAAAGAAAAATTATTTTGTTCTACACTGTGTATAGTGTATACACTGGACGGATATAAAACTAACTCTAAAGAAGTATGAAGGTTAATGTTTCCCTGGATAAATTGTTTTTGTTTATGTTTAGAATTGTTTATGTTTAGAATGAACCCCATGACTACACAGACTGCTCATACACTCTACTTGGATAGACTGAGCAAGCCTAAAGTGTCCCGGCACGCAATGCTACGGTTCCATATAATGTTTTTTGACTGACATCTCACGGCCATTTGTTGCATTCAGGGGTTAAGTTTTACAACTTTTAAAGAAATACTTCAATTTTAAGCCTAAAACATAACGTTTATGAATATTGTCTATTTTTAAAGATTTTGCATTTCCTATTCAAAGGATCCTTAAATATCCTTGAATACAGATGTCTCCTGATTGGTCATGTACATCGCATATTATAGATGTTAATCGATCTCTGTTACTCTCTTATCTCTGGAATGAACATTCAACAGAATACTTATCAGGTCAACAAATCCAATGAAAGGAGAGGGATCAAGGGGAACAGAAAACGTAGACTATCCCAAATAGATTCTAGTACATGGCAACGTAGAATTTGTACACTCTCAGTAGAGATGATCCTGACGTCACAAGTGTCAATTCAATTTTTGTGTCCGACAAAATTATCAATAATAATGATAATTTTAGAATGAAGAGCTTGTCTTACAGTAAAATAAGTGCAATTTTATGTGTTCTTTAGTTTCTGTTTTTTACACTATTTTATTGAATCTCGTGAGACAATTTCGTTTTCCTTGTTATAATTGATACTTGTGACGTTGTGCATAATTAGTTCATTTCTCTGTTGCCACCTATTGTACTTGATAATCTATTTGGACTATCCTTAAACCTGTAAAAAAAATAATACATTTTTGTTAATTTGTTCCTTATAAGTCAAAACTGGAAAAAGTCAGCTCTCAAGAGACTTTGTAAGAATTAATTCATATTCCTTAATTCATTGATGAACGAACAAAATATTTCAACATATGAGGAAAAAACCTAAAGACTAAAAGTTAGAATGAGAAAGAAGGTTAAACGCTCACTAGTCAAATGTAGGTTTTTAAAATAAATTTAATCACACAAAAAAGCTAACCTTTCAGAGTTCTCCCAGGTACCTTAGGTAACAGATAAACAGAATATAAAGAATACATCGAAAGAATTCATCAAATGTCGTATTCTTCACTTTCTGATAACGGAATGTTGCAGATATTTATTTTTTTAATTAAATAATTATATGGAACTCTTTAAAACTGTTCCCGCATATTCATGGCTATTTATTTATTTTTGCAAATACTGAAATTTACGTAATATAGTATAGAACTCGTTGAATAATTGTCAAGACGACATTTGATAAATTCTTCCGATGTATTCGTTATTAAGGGTTTCACTGTAGTTTTTCCCTTGTCTTCTTATACAAATATTTATATAATAATTCCGTAATCATGTTTTTTGTCAATTGCTCATAAAAACACCATTGAAAGGTCTAAACTGAAGAAATAAAACATAGGGTCGGATTCTGCAGTAAGGACGGTGTTTTTTGCACCCTTGCAGTATTGTCTATAGCTTGTATATTTTACTCAAAAAATGACAAAACGTAACAGAAAAAGAATGATTTTTAATCATTTTTCATAGTTTTATGCTCAAGACAATATTTCCAATGCTTATTTCCCATGATATCCTAACATTTTTCGAGCTTCGAATAATAACACTTTATGTCTGCCAATGACATGTAGAATCCGACCGTATGTTTATTTTTTCAGGTTAGATTTTTCAATGGTGTTTTTGAGTGCAACTGTTAGAAAAATGGGAATAGGGATGTAATAGGTAAGACTTTGGTCAAAACCAAGATACTCAATTATCTTTTTAGGCTGTACACCAAATATTTCGTTCTCTTTGAAAATGATTAACCTCAGGTACTTGGTATAACCCTGGAAGGTTGGATTTATCTTAAAATCCTACATTTGACTAGTGCGCTATGATTTCTGTTTTAGCAGGAGTTCATGTTCTCTAAAACAAACCCTAATTAAACGGTTACAATATGATCAAAATAAAACTAAGTTGAACGTTGATTCCTGTCAACTTAAAGTAAATTTTATGTTATATTGAAACTGTTCATGTTTTTAACCGAGCTTCCCTTCTTAAAGGGCTGTTGAGAAATAAGGAAAAGTTTTAAATTCCTATTGGGCAGCCAAATAAGTTTTGTTTTCTCAAAAACTAAAGGAGCTTCGAGGTCACAAAGTTGTACCAGTAAGTTTGCCAGAATTATACCATTTATGTACAGATTAGAGGACATCATATTGCGGGATTTAAAATATAGGTTTTCTGTTTATCTATCACTGATCCCCTAGGTATGTAAGTATGTATGCGTGTACACTGGTTTGTAACACTCTGTATATTTTGTACAGATTAGAGGACATCATATTGCGGGTTTAAAATAAAGGTTTTCTGTTTATCTATCACTGATCCCCTAGGTATGTAAGTATGTATGTGTGTACACTGGTTTGTAACACTCTGTATATTTTGTACAGATTAGAGGACATCATATTGCGGGTTTTAAAATAAAGGTTTTCTGTTTATCTATTACTGATCCCCTAGGTATGTAAGTATGTATGTGTGTACACTGGTTTGTAACACTCTGTATATTTTGTATAGATTAGAGGACATCATATTGCGGGTTTTAAAATAAAGGTTTTCTGTTTATCTATCACTGATCCCCTAGGTATGTAAGTATGTATGTGTGTACACTGGTTTGTAACACTCTGTATATTTTGTACAGATTAGAGGACATCATATTGCGGGTTTTAAAATAAAGGTTTTCTGTTTATCTATCANTCCTATCCTGATCCTATCCTGATCCTATCCTGATCCTATCCTGATCCTATCCTGATCCTATCCTGATCCTATCCTGATCCTATCCTGATCCTATCCTGATCCTATCCTGATCCTATCCTGATCCTATCCTGATCCTATCCTGATCCTATCCTGATCCTATCCTGATCCTATCCTGATCCTATCCTGATCCTATCCTGATCCTATCCTGATCCTATCCTGATCCTATCCTGATCCTATCCTGATCCTATCCTGATCCTATCCTGATCCTATCCTGATCCTATCCTGATCCTATCCTGATCCTATCCTGATCCTATCCTGATCCTATCCTGATCCTATCCTGATCCTATCCTGATCCTATCCTGATCCTATCCTGATCCTATCCTGATCCTATCCTGATCCTATTCTTGAAATTTCCAAGGATGAGACAAATTCTGTGAAAAGTTGAACAAGTGCGTTAAACAAATCTAATTAGGAAAGTAAATATTTCCCGCATTTCTTTTCATTTCTTGTCATTTAACATTTTTCAGTTCTATGCTTATGTAAATTCAAACTGACCAGTATTGACAGACAGGCAGAGATATAACAGATATACACGCAAACCTTATACAGCAATATCATAAAGAAAGATTATTTCTTAGAACAAGTTATATGTTTGACAAATCGAATATTCAATCATAAAAATTTACAATGTTTATCAAAAACATGACAACGGAATTGGGCTTTTGACACAAACTTTGATTTTATAGTCCCTTTATCTTTGCAACCCTATTTCGTAGACCTTTGATTTTCTAGTTCCTTTATCTTTGCAACCCGATTTCGTAGACCTTTGATTTTTTAAACAATAAATTCTGTAAGATCAAATCATAGATAAAGATAGATTGGCATAAGACGAAATTTTTCGTCTTGAAAGATATAAATGTACAGAGATGTTTTGAAGATATTCCTATTATATAGATTAACTAGGTCGGTTGTGAACATTGGCTGTTTTTTTGTCATTGAGTACTTGTGGTGTACATGAGTTCTGTTGAGAGAAATTTAAGGTAGTTTATTCCGTCTCATGTCCTTCTTCGGTTCTCGTCAATATGGACTGTACAATTCTTGGTGATTTTGCGTACATAAGCTATCTATGTTTATTTATTTATCTATGCATCAAATAGGCTTAGCTTGAAATATCAAAAGTTTACACTATCAGATTAAAAAGATAAATGGATAAGAAAATTTAAGTTTGTTGCAAGAACTCATGGTTCTTTTATACACAAACAACATTCAATTGTCCTTTTTTAAGAAAAATATATTCATAACGCACAAAAATAATAAGATGATTTGAACATGTCTTAGATTAATATGATCATTGCAGTCGCATACAAATTAAGTTTGTCATGCTAAACCAAATCAACCGGACCTTTTAAATATTTATAGCAACCATGAGAAGCATTCTTGCAAAATCTGACATTATTCGCATATAATTATCCAAAGTTAGAATCTGATGTTACAATTAGCTAAGGCAGTGTTCCGGAGAAAGGACGCAACCTAAACCTTGAAATATCAAGATTTCTCTCTAGGGAAATATTAGAAACTTGGCTTGTTTTATCATAAATCAGGAGTCTCAACATTTTCCCTCATATTGTAGAAACAGTGAAAAGTATTTAAATGGGCTTTAGACGTAAAGTCACGTGACATTAGAGAATCAAGTCCGAGTCACAATGATACTGCTGTAATGTTAATCTCAGCAACGATGACATAAAGGATTTAGGATTTTTCTATAAAACAAAATCCTAAATTCTGATAATTTCATTTTTTGTCACTGCTTCATAAATTTCGAAAGCCACTTTAATAAGGTAATCAGAATTAGAGAGTTATGAAGGTTGATTAAGAAAAACAAGGATATCTTGATCATTGCTCGATCAAGATTTGAAGAGTATCTTTTAATGGATTAGGAGAGTAGGATGCATAGTTTGAAGTAGGAATTATTCTGGAGTTACGGAGTAGGATGGTAGACTGGAGTAGGATAGTAGTCTGGAGTAGGATAGTAGTCTGGAGTAGGATAGTAGTCTGGAGTAGGATGATAGACTGGAGTAGGATAGTAGTCTGGAGTAGGATAGTAGACTGGAGTAGGATAGTAGTCTGGAGTAGGATAGTAGTCTTCAAATCAAATCAAATCAAATATTATGTATTAACGCTGAAACATAACATTAAATAAGATAAATCAATATTACAAGGGTAGATCAATTGATTCATGTTCTGCGTCAGGAGAACTGCTATTTTTGTATCAGCTCCCCAGTTACTAGAAAAAACAGAGAAGAATAAACATTGACGGTATTTAAGGTGTGGTGGTGAATGGTTTTGCTTGAGCAGGTGGATTTGATAAAGAAGAACAGGGACCTCTTAGCTTCAACTGTGATTTGTAAATATTAATTAATCAGGAAAAAGTGGACTCCAATGCATACTTAATCGTACAACTTGAATTTATCAATTCAGAATATATCATTAATTGGAAAGCTATATAAATGAGTAAAACAGGTAAAGCAGAAATGTTTATTACAATCGAAATTTTCTATTTAGCTAAGTATTTAAAAGCGTTTTTAAAAGGAATGGGGACGAGTAGGATGGTAGACTGGACTAGGATATAGCCTGGGGTAGGATGGTAGACTGGAGTAGGATGGTAGATTAGAGTAGGATGAAGACTGGAGTAAGATGGTACACTGGAGTAGGATGGTACACTGGAGTAGAATGGTAGGCTGAAGTAGGATTATAGACTAGAGTAGGATGGTAGACTGGAGTAGGATGGTGGACTGGAGTAGGATGATAGACTGGAGTAAGATGGTAGACTGGAGTAGGATGGTAGACTGGAGTAGGATGGTAGACTGGAGTAGGATGGTAGACTGGAGTAGGATGGTAGACTGGAGTAGGATGGTAGACTGGAGTAGGATGGTGGACTGGAGTAGGATGATAGACTGGAGTAAGATGGTAGACTGGAGTAGGATGGTAGACTGGAGTAGGATGGTAGACTGGAGTAGGATGGTAGACTGGAGTAGGATGGTAGAATGGAGTAGGATTTTATACTGGAGTAGGAAGGGGGACTGGAGTAGAATGGGGACTGGAGCAGGATGGTAGACTGGAGCAGGATGGTAGACTGGAGTAGAATGGTAGACTGGAGTAGACTTAAGAAGTATGGGGGACTGGAGTAGGATGGTAGACTAAATTGGGATGGTAAACTGGAGTAGGATGGGGGACTGGAGTAGGATGGTAGACTGGAGCAGGATGGTAGGCTAGAGTAGGACAGGGGACTGGAGTAGGATGGGGGACTGGAGTAGGATGGTAGACTGGAGAAGGATGGTAGGCTAGAGTAGGACAGGGGACTGGAGTAGGATGGGGGACTGGAGTAGAATGGTAGACTGGAGTAGGATGGGAGACTGGAGTAGGCTGGGGGAAAAGAGTAGGATGGTAGACTGGAGGAGGATGGAAGACCGGAGTAGGATGGGGGACTGGAGTAGGATGGTAGACCGGAGTAGGATGGGGGACTGGAGTAGGATGGGGGACTGGAGTAGGATGGTAGACCGGAGTAGGATGGGGTTTGGAGTAGGATGGGGGACTGGAGTAGGATGGGGGACTCGATTAGGATGGTAGACTAGAGTAGGATGGTATGTAATAAATCTAGATGCTATAACTTCAATGATAACTCTACTCAAAGTCTAATGAGAACATATCTAACTCTATCTCTTGCCAAAACTCAAGGCTCTCTACTCTCAGCCAATACTCAAGGCTCAGTATACGTCCGTATTAATCAAAGAATTCTATTGAACTACTTTATTTATAAACAGGTAAAAATGAAACTGACCAGGCTAGCCCGGCTGGGTCAATATACAAATAATTAAGATAACGATATTACTAGCATGAATAACAAAGATAGAATTGCACATCATTACAGAATATACTTCAGGTAGACTGTAGTAGGATGGTAGGCTGGATTAGGATGGTAGACTGGAGTAGCATGGTAGACTGAAGTAGGATGGTAGGCTGAAGTAAGAAAAGATACTGGATTAGGACGGATTGTGAATATAGTAAGATCTTAAAAGGAATTGGTGGAGTTGAAGAAAAGTATTTCCTCTCTTGTTCTTCACTTTAGTAAACAATGGATATTTTGCTAAGTAGTACATAAAAGGAACATTATTACAATAGGTTACATTTATATCAACAAACATTAAATTTCCTGTTAAAAAACATTTTCGTCAGTTTCCGTTGAAGGGATGGTTTGAGTTGGATAAATGATGAACGGATGGGTTGGATAAATGATGAAAGGTTGGGTTGGATAAATGGTGAAGGGATAGGTTGGGTTGGATAAATGGGGAAGGGATGGTTTGGGTTGGATAAATGATGAAAGGTTGGTTTGGGTTGGATAAATGATGAAAGGTTGGGTTGGGTTGGATAAATGGTGAAGGGATAAGTTGGGTTGGATAAATGGGGAAGGGATGGTTTTGGTTGGATAAATGATGAAAGGTTGGGTTGGGTTGGAGAAATGGTGAAGGGATAGGTTGGGTTAAATAAATAATGAAAGGATGGGTTGGGTTGAATAAATGTTGAAGGGATGGGTTGGGTTGGATAAATGTTGAATGGATGGGTTGGGTTGGATAAATGTTGAAGGGATGGGTTGGGTTGGATAAATGGTGAAGGGATGGGTTGGGTTGGATAAATGTTGAATGGATGGGTTGAGTTGGATAAATGGTGAATGGATGGGTTGAGTTGGATAAATGTTGAAGGGATGGGTTGGGTTGGATAAATGGTGAAGGGATGGGTTGAGTTGGATAAATGTTGAATGGATGGGTTGAGTTGGATAAATGTTGAATGGATGGGTTGAGTTGGATAAATGTTGAAGGGATGGGTTGGGTTGGACAAATGATGAAATAATGTGTTGGCTTGGATAAATGGTGAAAGGATGGGTTGGGCTGGATAAATGTTGAATGGATGGGTTGGATTGGATGAATGTTGAAGGAATGGGTTGGGTTGGATAAATGTGAAGAGGTGGGTGGGGTTGGATAAATTATGAAAGGATTGTTTGGTTTGAACAAATGAAGTAGGTTTGGGCTTGATAGGATAAATGATGAAAGGATGGTTTATAATGAAAGAATGGGATGGGTTGGATAAATGTTGAATGGATGGGTTGGGTTGGATGAATTTTGAAAGGATTGTTTGGGTTGGATAAATGCTGAAAGGATGGATGGGTTGGATAAATGTTACAGGGATGGATAAATGAATTAGGGTTGGGTTGGGTTGGATAAATGTTACAGGGATGGATAAATGAATTAGGGTTGGGTTGGGTTGGATAGATGTTACAGGGATGGATAAATGAATTAGGGTTGGGTTGAGTTGGATAAATGTTAAAAGGTAACAGTTATCATGCAGAGAACAAAAACTCTTCAATTGAGACTAAAGAATTATAAAATCAATTTATATTTTAGTAAAATATTTTTCCTAATTTTGAATTCATAGCTTTATCCTGTTTTGATTTAATACAATCAAATCCGTTCTAATCCTCGGTTTTGAAACCTCTCAATCACAATAAAAACCAGAAGAAATACAACTTTTCTCCGTCAAATAATAAAACACAAATCTCGTCAGAGACTAAATGAACAAAGTTAAACAAAAAGAAAACCGAAAATTAAGTATTTTTGAGAGAATTCATAAAGGAAAATAGTGTTGAATAAGAGCAAAGTTCAAAAGCATTTTTCAGTATTTTCAACAGATCTATATTTATTTTCAAAATCAAGTAAGATCTATTTCATTTTCACTTTATAACTTAAAGGGACTGTCGACGTGAGTCCCTTTTGTGATCTGTCTAATATCTATAAGGAATGTCATAAAATTCTTATTTTCTCTTTAAATCTCTATGACATGCTCTATATGTCTATTTAATCCATAGATAAATAAATAATCCTATGTATACTCATGATATTTCTATGTATTCTCTATATATGTGTATGCTCTATATATATCTCTATTAATGAGAGAAATGTTGATACTACAGAACTAACTAGATTACCACACTCTCTTGTCACTAATGTAAACAAAACTTAGGTTTAGGAAATCCAACAAGATAATAAAATATGTAAATCTAATTTTGACTTTCTTCCCCTTTCCTCCCTTTGGTTCCCCTCCCCCTCAACCTTCCTCTCATCCCTCCTGTCTATTCGGCCGTCAACCTTCTACTCAGCCCCGCATCTATCCGTCACTCTTCCACTCATCCCTCCTATTTATCCGTCAACCTTCTACTCATCCCCGGATCTATCCGACACTCTTTCACTCATCCCTTTTATCTACCCTTCAACCTTCTACTCATCCCTCCTATCTATCCATCAACCTTCCACTCATCCCTCCTATCTATCCGTCAACCTTCTTATTCATCCCTCCTATCTATCCGTCAACCTTCCATTTATCCCTCCTATCTTTACGTCAACGTTCCTCTCATCCCTTCTACTTATCCATCAACCGTCTGCTCATCTCTCCTGTCCTTCAACCTTCACACCATCCCTCCTATCTATCCATCAACCTTCCACTCATCCCTTCTATATATCCGTCAACCTTCTATTCATCCCTCCAATCTATAATCAGTCAAACTTCCATTTATCCCTCCTATCTTTACGTCAACGTTCCTCTCATCCCTTCTATTTATCCATCAACCGTCTGCTCATCCCTCCTGTCCTTCAACCTTCTAATCATCCCTCCTATCTATCCGTCAACCTTCCTCTCATCCCTCCTATCTATCTGTCAACCTTCCACTCATCCCTCTATCTATTCGTCAACCTTCCACTCATCCTCAACTCCTCTGTGCAGACACCCAGAGGAGTTTCGCGCAGTCGGCGTATAATTACAAGACAGAGAGGGGGCCTGTTCTACATCAACTGCGAGAAACTCTGCATCTGGGCTTCTGCCAAGAGTTATTTCAATTAATTTATGGTGGAACTGAACTATAATTGCAAACTTTAAATTCAAATCAATTGTGTTCAAATAGAAATTTTTTCAAATTGAATATTTTTTTTGTGCTTTAACGTACTATCAATACCATGATTAACATATTTCCAAAAAAAAGATTTTCAATAGTCTAGATGTTTTTTGAAATTTTGAGGCTATTTAGATATTATGTAACCCGCTCATCTGACCTAAAATTTTTATAAAGTGAGAACCAGAAAACTGTGGAAAGGGAATTGCAGACGATTTATCAATTCACTTATTTTAAGTGAAATGGGTCGACTTTATACAATTCACAATTGCTGTGTCCCATTCATTATAAAATTAGAATTGAAATAAAAAACTGCTATAATAGCTTCCAAGAACATAGTTCAAATGATCAAATAGTGTGTTAATTTTAACTACAGGATATGACTTCATGTCAACGTGTTCAAATGAACATATAGTTAAAACGACCAATAGTTAAAAACTGTAGATCACACTATCGAGATGGTGTATCTTTCACCTACGACAACTCCGCTATACTCTACTTCTGACCTACGACAAATCCGCTACACTTGCAAATCCAATTCCTACTAGCACGTGTTTTTATAGCTGCTAGATGGACTTATGGCCACAGCGCCCGGCCCCCTTGACTGTCCTAGCCGAAGTGCTCCGCCCAGAAATAGTCTTAACCCTCAAATAATGCAAAAATAAACAGCTGGTGTAAGTCCTACAGGGTGTCCCACATCATATTAGACCGAGAACGGGTCTAAATTACGATTTTCGGGACTAATTAGAAAATTTAATTAGAATGAATCATTTAAAAAATAATATAAGGGTTTATTTTGGTGTTAAAGATTGGTGATAATCTAATATGATATGGGACGCTCTGTATATTGCAGTAGGTCGGAAAGTTAGTAGTCGGGGATATTGCACGTACAGGGTGTCCCACGAAACATGACAATAGCAAGACGACTTGAAAGTCGTCTTTGGTATTTGAATTTATTTGTGACATTTAGTCTTCTATCTACTTTAGCATGTATGATTCTTGAAACAATTATCACATAATTCTCCTAGCCCTGGCATTTCCAAAAACTGCAGGTCTGCGTTTTTTGTGCTTTCAATATCATACTAGAGATATAAAGAGTTTGGTTCAGATTTCAATTTTGTTAAATAAAAGCAAAATTGTCGAATTCTGAACGAAATTCTTCATATCTCGGGCAATATTGAAAGCACAAAAAAGGCAGACCACATTTGGGAAATGGCAGGACAAGGGAAATTTTGTGATTATTATCTCTAGAAATTTACTTCTAAAATTAGGTTGACAAATAAACGCAGCAAATTATATCAAAAATCAAGACGACATTCAAGTCGTCCTGCATACTGTCATGTTTCGTGGGACACCCTGTATAAACGATGTAACATTAACCACAATCGAACTCAAGTTTGAATGTCGTCTTTTAGAAGAACTAATATTATTATGCGCGTTTCTAATTTAAAGCCGCAATCATATATATTCATTTCAACGGCTGTAAAAAAGTAAACATACTATTCCTTCGAAGTATCTCAAATTCTCAAAACGAATAGATAAATAATTGTTGTTTTGATTATTTAAATAAAATTAACGATAGATAGCAACTGCAGACTGTATACAAAGTATCAAAATTTTTTATAACTTTTGTTATCATTAAGTGATTTTTATAATTTCTTTTTTACTTCAGATAGTGTAAACTCTAATATCGGCCCAATGATGCCGATTGGTATACAGATGTTCGCTACAATAACGTCCAAGGATCATGCAAGAAATATTCAGCAAGATCTTCAAAATATTTACTTTACTGATGCGTACAGAGATACAATACTTCAGGTTGGAATATGTAAATAAAACACGGGTCTTTACTCTTTATGATTAAAGTTTAGTTTATGGGTAATTTCCTAGAGAACGATTTTTGGACCCCAACCCCCGCCCCCCCCCCCTTCTATCAATTTTGTACATGTATCTTAAATTTAATACATGTGGCCGCAGCGCTCGGCCCCCTAGCCTGTCCTAGCCACAGCGCTCGGCCCCCTAGCCTGTCCTAGCCGCAGAGCTCGGCTCAGAAAGTGTCTTAACCTACCATAACCTTAAATAAATACTAATTTAATTGAAAAAAGTGGTCATGTACAAAATTGATAGGAGGGGGGAGGGAGTCCAAAAATCGTTCTCTAGGACAGACCCTAATGTTTAGTTTATGAGCTTTTGCTACATTTGAAGCGGACCATACAACGAATTTTATAATTTACTTAGAGAAAGTAAAACCCACTCTCTCGTCGTGGAGATGTTTTATGTATCGTATTGAATAAAAAAATTATTCAGATATTATACCTTTATGTGAAATTACATTTTCTTGTTTAGTGTCCGGACGGTCATATGATCACCATTAGACCACCCACCGGTCTTATATTTTCTTTTTTAGTGTACAAACGGTCATATGGTCATCAGTAGACCACTCACTAGTCTCATATTTTCTTGTTTAGTGTCCAGACGGTCATATGGTCATCAGTAGACCACTCACTAGTATTAAATTTTCTTGTTTAGTGCACATATGGGCAATAGAAGACCACTGACCAGTCTTATATTTTCTTGTTTAGTGCACATAGTGGCATCAGCTGACCACTGGCCAGTCTTATATTTTCTTGTTTAGTGTACAGACGGTCATATGGTCATCAGTAGACTTCTCACCGGCCTTCTTTTTCCATTTCTCAAGGTATTATTCAGCTGGGTTTTTTTTCCTTACAAAATAACCAATTATTTTCGTGTGGCCTATTATTTTTTTTTCGCTCCTAAATAAATAATAAATCTTTTCCAAGCTGTTATAAATAATGCTGGTATCGGTATCCAATATTTTTGGATACCCCCCCCCCCTCTCATAAAAAATGTTCATGACTATTTTTTATTCTTCTAGTGTTGATTAGGTTAAAACAATTTCTTGGCCGCCCTGACTAAGATAGGCTAGCTAGGGGGCCGGGCGCTTTGGTCATACTTTGACCATGTACATTTTTAGATGAGGGGGAGGGGAAGGGGTTCCAACAACCTTCTACTACAGTCATAAGCAGAAAGACCCGGAATTAATTGACATTTATTCAGACGACTTAACATAAAAATACATCTCTGGTAATATTAAACGCACAAAAAAGTCTGACCATATTTTGGAATTAGCAGGACTAGGGCTATTTTACTATTATCGTTTTATTAATAATATTTGTAAAATTAGATTGTTCGGTCGTCTGATTAATTATTAATTAATTCCGGGTCTTTCTGGTTATGACTGTAAGAAACTACCTTTTTTCTTCAAATATTTTAAGTTTGTAATGTAATTACTAATCACAGGACCCCGATTTTGATTATTAAACTTTTAATTCTCTATAAATTTTTATATCTATTTTATATCCTATATCTATTGAATGGCTTACAAATTATAATGCCTTAGGGGATTCAACATTACTAGGGGTGTCCTGTTCCTCTTTGGTATTGAAATCCACGAGATGTTCTCAAGATGTTTTGTGTAGGATAACCTGAGTTTCCAGATGGTAGAGGAGGCCACCTTGATCCTTCCTGAGCATAATAAGCTGGAGATTGAGAAATCTATTTATCATCTTCTAGGAATTAAATATTCAGACCAATCCCAGGTACAAAGATTAATTTATTACAATATTTGATTTAATTATTGTTAGGATCGCAATCATCTCGATTCATGACGTTTAAGCTCCCTGGATCCGAATCCTCTCAATGCATTAATTTTAAGCTCCCTGGATCCTAATATACTCGATCCATTAATTTTAAGCTCTCTGGGTCCGAATCCACTCGATCCTTTATTTTCCTGTATCCGAATTCACTCGACCAATTATTTTTAGCTATCTTGATCCGAATCCACTCGACCCCTTATTTTAAGCTCCCTGAATCCGAATTCACTCGATCCATTAATTTGTAGCTCTCTGAATCCGAATCTTTTAAAAATATACTGATCCTAGAATCCGGATCAAAAATAGAAAGCACAAATTTTTATTCTCAAACATAAAAATTTAAAATATCATAATGAAATGGATCCTAAGCATTGGATCTTAGTCTAAAATTTTCAAGCATAATACTCTCCCTGCTAAAAAAAATTAATTTGTTTATTTTTAAAAATTCTGAAAGGAATTGCTGAAAGATTTTGGTCCTGAGCTATATCCTATTTGTGAGAAAAGTGTAACTAACTATGATGCAGATCATAGCAAAATAAATTATATTTTGTCACTATAATTTAGTATTTTTTTCAGGATGTTCCCATGATGGGAGAATGGAATGAAGAAGCAATTGATACAATCATAGAAACCCTAGAACCAGAGAAGGTAGAACAGGATCCCCAAGGAACTGTATTCAGGAACGCTCAACTCAGATTTACGCATATTGTGTACTGTATACTGTGGGAGGAATGTAAACAAACCCAGTGCCCCCACAGAAATTGAAGAGAAAGGATTACAGCTCTGATGTGATATTACAGCCCCACAAAAAAAAAAGTTAATATATCAAGTTAGAGCGAAAACTTATGATTTTTGGCTTTCTGGTCAATATGGAAAATACAATAGCAATATATTTTTATTCCACCCCTTGAGCCCTTTTCCCTCAAAAATGATGCGTTGCCCCTGAATTCTTTGTTTTGATCTCCTCCCACTGCAGTACACAGATTTGACGCATCAGATATAGCGGTTCCTGCTCTATATATTTCTTGAGGATCCCTATATTCCGCCCTAACCCTAACCACTGTCGGGCTTCAATTCAGATATGGAGGGGGGGAGGGGGGCTGCTTGATTGAAAAGCTTAAACATCTTGACTTATTTCGATTTCGAAGAAGGATTGATATTTGTAGGTACTATGTTTAGGTGGGAAGGATGTATATATCTAGGTACCATGTATAGGTGGGAAGGATGTATATATCTAGGTACTATGTATAGGTGGGAACGGGAAGGATGTATATATTTAGGTACCATGTATAGGTGGGAAGGATGTATATTTCTAGCTACTATGTTTAGGTGGGAATGATGTATATCTAGTTACTGTTTAGGTGGGAAGGATAGATATATCTAGGTACTATGTTTAGGTGGGAAGGATGGATATATCTAGGTCCATGTGTTAGTGGGAAGGATGGTTTTATCTAGGTACTATGTTTAGGTGGGAAGGATAGATATATCTAGGTACTAAGTTTAGGTGGGAAGGATGGATATCGGATATATCTAAGTACTTTGTTCAGGTGGGAAGGATAGGAAAGATGAAAACAAGATCAGCTGTTCTACACTCTACACTGACGAAAGAAACTGCTGTCATTCATGCATCTACAGAAGAAGAAAAGGAAACAATTTCATTCAACATAATTTTTTTTGACAGATACTACCCCCCACCCCAACTGCCATTATTTTTATTGCTAGGGAGGGCTCGGTGAGCAGTTTATGAGTCATTCCACATGTTAAATTTGTTAAATAAATATCCCCGATACACAGCTGGTGTTAAATTCTGTTCTTTTCCCATTTATATAAACAGTTGTTGGAAGTTTTGTATTATTTCTCAAGTCCTAATCTAAAGTTTGGATGAACTGGTTCAGGATTTCTCTGACTCCGTCCTGGTTGTACACGAGGTTGATACAGACGATGATTCCAAGAAGACCCAGATACAAACACCAGTCGTTCAATCCTTCAATATTCCAGGTAAACCCGTGATCAGGGAAAAAGGAGATGCTTGCAATTTCTCAAGTTTTCATATTATTAATATTTCCTCAATAAATAAATGAATAAATAAAAACAGTTATGTTTTCAGGATGAAAAGATTTTTTAATTCAGATTTTAAATATGTTCGATTATAAGGGGGAAAAGTTTGATTAAGAAAGATTAGGAAGAAGTCGGAACTTTTTTTATGAGTTAATCTGAACTCAATGGATTACTAAACCGATTAAGTACTTTATTCGTGAAAATAATAACCAGCTAAGTCATGGTTACTGGCAGAGAGCATATTTTTGGTTTTATTGGTCCAAGTTTTAGCAGACTAAGCTCTCAGCCTCTCATTATTTAATTTCTCTGACCTCTATTGGTATCTAAATGGATTTAAGATAATACGTCATGATACGGATTTGTGCGTTCTAAATGGATTAATAATAAAAAATCTGAAATGCATCAACATTTTCCAGTAATTTACACAAGATTTAATTCTCAGTGCGGATTCCTTCCGACGAAGTTATACCGCGAGGATTTCTGTGTTCTATTTGCCACACCTTGTTCCCAGCTCAAGATCTTCTAATGAATCACATCAAGATTCATAATCAGAAATATAAATGTCAAGCTTGCGGAGCAGCATTCTGTAAGGTATGATTTTAGAATGAGTTTTGATGGAATGATTGGTTTAGGAAAGATTAGAAAATCAAGTAGTTTTTCCACTTTGTGTACTTTTAACCCAAAAAATCGTGTTTATTTTTTTCAAATTCAGCGAAAATAAAATTTCTATTGTACAGGGGAAAACATTTATTACTGAAGAGAGAGGAGAGGGTAATATTTTTCCGATTAAATTCAACTTTGATGAACTGTTTCGTCAGAAACATCGAACACGTTCAACCATTAAAAGGCTTGTTTAGTGATCACCAATTTCACAGCTCTTTTAATACCAATGGTTTTTTATTCATGAAGCTTTAAGACTCATAATATGTCCTTTTTATTTTTCGTAGATTTATTTACGAGCAGACTTTATTAAAAACTATGCATGAGCCTAAAAGGTATTTTTGCAATCATTTAAAAGTTCTAAAAGTTTTTTTTTCTGTAAATTGGTCAAATGTAGAATATTTACCCCAACAGCATAGCAGATCTCACTCTGGTCATCAGTTGGTCAAATATAGAATATATAAACCTTTAATTGTAGATGCGTGAGCTGACGGAGCATAGCAGATCCCACTCTGGTCATCAGTTGGTCAAATTAGAATATATACACCTATAATTGTAGATGCGCAAGCTGACGGAGCATAGTAGTTCTCACTCTGGTCATCAGTTGGTCAAATTAGAATATATACACCTATAATTGTAGATGCGCAAGCTGACGGAGCATAGTAGTTCTCACTCTGGTCATCAGTTGGGCAAATGTAGAATATATATCCCTATAATTGTAGATGCGTGAGCTGACGGAGCATAGCAGATCCCACTCTGGACATCAGTTAGTCAAATGTAAAATATGTGATAAGGATTTTACAGAGAAAGGTTAGAATACTGCTGTTATCTTTCTAAACGGGAAATAGTAGACGGGAAGGTTTTCAAAATTATATTTGGCATTTTATTTAAACTGAAATTATTTATTAAATTGAGGGAATTGATGGAAAAATATGGACTCCTGCAAACTAAACTTTAACCTTACAGGTTTGCGACTTCATACAGAGAGGTTCCACAAGGTTGAATTGGAGGCAAGTAAACCTGTGAAGAAGAGAGAATTAAGAGAGATCAAACCTGCTCCGGAGGAGAAGGAGGAGGAGGTGGATGATCTAGAGATGGAGGTGGAGGAGACAGACGACCACCAGGAGGAGCTGGGGAAGGAGGAGGAGGAGGAAGTCCAGGGGAAACAGAACAAATATCCTCAAAACAATGTGTATTTCAGGTTGTAGTTATTTTACAAAAATATTAGATAATCAGATCGGGATCATGGACATATACTATGTATGCTATTTCTCCGGGAGAAAAACTCATTTTATTTAAAAGAAAGGGAGGGGAGTTAAAAAAAAATACTTAGCACGAAAAAGGAAAGTTTAACCAGGAATCTCCGTATCTTTTTTTTATAAAAGTGTACTGTAGTTTTTTAAATAAAAAATAAAGCTTAGTTTGAAATCATAGTACACTGTTTTGTCAAGAAACTTTTCTGGTGTTTCATACTATGTAAGAAAATAGACCTTGCTCAAACATTTACAATTTAAAAAAAATAAATTTAATTTAATATATTTGATCTAGTTCCTCTGACTCGGATACTGAAGACCCCAACTCTATGTCGGACGGGACGGAGAAAGCTCCGATCAAGGTTCGGAAAAGTGAACTCTGTGAACCCTGTGATAAATACTTCACGAAGAAGGGTTTCAAGCTCCATCAGCAGAAACACCACAGGCAGGGGTCGGAGCGAAGACAGAAAGGAGAACGCAAGTTGAGAGAGGTTAAGGACAAGGAAGGGAAGGTGGTGAAGGAGAAGGAGGGGAAGAAGTCTGCTCTAAAGAAGATGTTCAGCTGTATGTACTGTCACAAAAAGTTTTCCCATATGGCGAGTATGAAGGTATTTGTATGTTTAATGCTTATTTTAGGCTTTACAATCTATTTTGGATCAAATCCGTGACATGACCTTTCCTGGAGTTGTTAATTATGGAAGAACAAAATACTTCTCGGGGGAGTAGAGTAAATTTATTTGTAGTTCAGTTAAGAAAAGATCAATTATATCTTTATGGGGCAAATTGGAAACCAACATTTTTTTAATGCCATGGTCTCGAAAATCGGCAATTTTTGGTTAAAATTATCATTATTATTTTAACATACCTCTTTTATCTATATAAAATCATTTCTCCATTAATAAAAAAGAAACATTTTAAATGTATTAACGCTTAAAAATAGACTCAAAGGTATATTTGTTATCAAAAAAAAAATATTAAAAAATAAAAAAAGTACATTTTATTGTAAACCATCGTAAAAAGTTCTTCTTTATTATAACATGGTGTTTTCCTAGTGACTAACGACTTTCCTAATATTTCATGACGTTTCTTAGTATTGTATACATTCTTAATATTCATGGTTGATTTATTGTTATTGCATGGTAATTTATTAATAAATTTCCTGAAAGGATACATGGTGTTACATTACAAATAACATATCGGCTTGTTGTTGTATAAATATATTTCATGCACTGTATAATTTTAATTGTTTAAGGTTCATGAGAAAGTACATCTTGGCGGAAAACCGCATCACTGCGACATGTGCGACGCAAAGTTCTCAAATAAGTTCGACCTGTTTGCGCATGAGAAGGAGCACAGCGCTCACCGACCGCACAAATGTGACATGTGCGCACAAACCTTTAAAACACCTGAATCCTTACGCTTCCATAAACTGATCCACGAGGAAAGTTTACCAACTGTTTGTAGATTTTGCTCCAAAAAGTTTAAGAATAAGAGTCAGCTGGATGTTCATGAGAATATACATACCGGAGAGAAAACCCATTCCTGCTCACAATGTAGTCAATGCTTTGAAACTGCAACAAAACTAACACGACATATAACTGCAAACCATCTTAAAGAGAAGGTTGTTATCACTTCCAGTAGTTAAGATTAGATCTGATTTAAAACATCTTTTCTTATCACATTCTTTATTTAAACAATTGTAGTATATACTTTAAACAGAAAGAGATTTCGGTGTTATTTCCTCAGCGGGTTTATACTAATATTAGCTGTCACGCTTAATGGAATCATTGTTCGTGTTTCATCTAAAAAATGTCTGTTTTTGTTGTATATTTTATTCTGATAATACGCTTTTACTGACGCTACGCGCCATCTTTCCTATTAACAATTTTAGCGTTTAATTTTTGCTCTGAAAGTCACCATTTTCCAATAGTTTTTAAAATTTTCTAAATAAAACGGCGCATTTTCAGAAATAATTAACCTCGACATTTTTTCCGGGCATTTAGAGGACGGTCAAAAAAACCTTCCTTGGGGTCATGAAAGTTGCCATAAATATTGCGAGTCCAATCGTTTCAGCCGTTTTTGACGTTTTATTTGGGATACAGGCAAACAAACAGACAATCCTTATATATATACAATATACATAAAATGATTTCTTTCATCTCATTATTCCTAAAGCTTTACTTCTATTTTTTTTTATAAATATTCTGCAAGTACAAAATCTCTTAACTGAAGATTAAACCGTGAAAACTAAAACAGTGAACCAAAAACCTCAAAAGTCTGAAAAGGCAAACGAAATCAATTGCCCAACACTAACCATGGGAAAGGGCCTGTTGACGTATTTTCACGTGACCTTCCATTAGGAGTTCCATTCGCGATTCACAGCGGTACCTTTTTTATTTTTATTTTCGGAACATTGGAGATGTCGTCGTTTTTCTATCTTGAAAAGAGATAAGTTGTGCAAATCCTCAAGTAATGTTTAAAGAGAACCTCTAGATAAAAACTATTAATTTTAGATTAAATAGGATGTGTTCAATCAGTTTTAGTCAGGGTTTGAAGGTACCGTTGTGCATCGGGCACATTTTACTTTTAAAAGTGTCCCTGGAAATTGCGTCGACATTACCTTTAAGAAATCGGCAATATTTCGTGATTATAAAGCATGTAACTATTTATTATTTTATGAACTGGAGAATTCATGTATCGTTGAACTAATTGTAATTTTTTCACTTGCTAATGTAGAATATAGAATAGGTTTTTAAATTCAATCCAGCTGTTTTATTGAAGTATGTCATGGACGAGTAGTGTATACTGTGATCTGGGTCAAAAAATATGCACAATTTACCAATTTTTCAGGGAAATGGAGATTTAATTCATTTTCTTATAATACCACCACAGATGAGGTAGATATGGATGCAGGGTTGACGCGCACCTGGCGTTTGACAAGTTTATGTGTGCTGCACCGTTCATGTAAAATAGCTTAATGGGCTTAAAGAAGGAAAATATTAGTATTTCCATAATTACTGTTGCAAAGTTCTAGCCACTCTCCCTCCACGGAACCACTGGACACACTGGAAATAAAAAAAACCCAAATTCTATAGTTCGATTAATTAAAGGGACTGTAAAGGAAAAATGAAAGGAGGTATAAGATGAAACCTCAGAATCTCAGGCGTTGAACGATACATATAAGACATCTATCTGATGTTTCTGTCTCGAGAAATTGATATAAAACTTTGTCAAACTTATACGAAAATTTATATGTATGCAATTTAGTATAAAAGTTTTAGTATAAACAGATCATATTCACACAAATACAAAACCAATCTGAAAACGACAATGTCCAACAGAAACCTGAGAATTTCAGATTGATATTTAATTTTTTTTTGCATTCTTAATAGATGTAATTGATAATATTATTACATATTGTCTGTATAGTCCGTATTACGTCACCAGAACTTCAGCCAATGAAAGTGCAGTATAATGGTCACGTGATTTCCGTCTGTATCACGTGACAAGTATACTACACTTTCATTAGCGGGAGTTCTTTTGACGTAATACGGACAATATGTAATAATATTATCAATTATATTCATTAAAAATGCAAAATAAAAAAAATTATAATGGGAGAAAACCTGAGATTCTCAGGTTTCTGTGGGATATGATCGTTTTCAGATTGTTTGCTTATTTGCTGAATATGATCTGTTAAAACCTTCTACTTTTATACAAATATGTATAGATTTTCGTATAATTTTGACACAGTTTTATATCAATTTCTTAAGACTGGATCATCAGATAGAAGTCTCATAGGTATTGTTCAACGCCTGAGATTCTCAGGTTTCATCCTATACCCCCTTTCGTTTTTCCTTTATAGTCCCCTTAAATAACTCGAAATATACAGCTGTACATGCAGCTGACTGTTAATTAAATCTCTTTCAGGCTACATAGGCAGGGCGTCCACATCAATGATCCATCTATGACTTCCTGATCTTTGAATAATACTTAAATCAATTTTTCATTCGTGTTAGGAAATTCTTCGTGAAATAAACCCAACCAGGGTTACGGGCGCTTCCATCAATACCATTGTGTTTACTTTCTTAATACCATAGATATTAAGAGTATAGTTTAATTATAATTTATTTCATAATACCATAAAAATGTCCTGAACGATATCATTCACATCTAGTATAAAGTAGTATTGTGTAGAAAATCCCTGTATATATATTAGTATACCCGAGACTATATAGAATAAAGCTGTATTGTGTATAAAATCCCTGTATATATATTGGTATACCCGAGACTATATAGTATAAAGCTGTATTGTGTATAAAATCCCTGTATATATGTTGGTATACCCGAGACTATATAGTATAAAGCTGTATTGTGTAGATAATTCCTGTATATATATTGGTATACCCGAGACTATATAGTATAAAGCTGTATTGTGAAATCCCTGAAAATATGTTGGTATACCCGAGACTATAGTATAAAGTGGTGTGTGTGTGGTTATTGACAGGACCTTAATATATTACTTTTGTGTGCAATTCGACTTCTTGTTTTATTATAAAAGTAAATAAGTAAAACATGTAATTCAAAAACCATTTTAAAGAGATTTTCTAAAATTTTTTTTCATTCTTCATCGTCTCCTTGTCTACCTGTCTCCTTGTCTACCTGTCTCCTTGTCTACCTGTCTCCTTGTCTACCTGTCTCCTTGTCTACCTGCCTCTTTGTCTACCTGTCTCCTTGGCTACCTGTTTTCATGTCTAACTGTTTTCTTGCCATGCCTGTTATCATGTCTGAACTGACTTCTTGTCAACCTGCCTTCTTATTTTCGTATCTGACTTTTTCTTTTCAACCTGTCTAATTAGCTTCTTGTCAACCTGTGTTTGTGTCTATCATTCACCTTGTCAACCTGTTCCCATAAACTTCGTAGAAACCATAGATTTCACAGGTCCAAGAAAGCTCAGCAACCGTTGGGGCCCATAAACTTCGTAGAAACCATTAATTTCACAGGTCCAAGAAAGCTCAGCAACCGTTGGGGACCATAAACTTCGTAGAAACCATTGATTTCACAGGTCCAAAAAAGCTCAGCAACCGTTGGGGCCCATAAACTTCGTAGAAACCATAGATTTCACAGGTCCAAGAAAGGGAATTGAGCCACCAAATAGCTGTATTCCCTGTATATATACGCTTTGATAATTAGAGTAAGTTTAATAAATGTGTAAAGAAGAATATTCAAATTATATTCTCGGCATTTATTCACTATTCAATGTCTACATAAAGAAACTGTTAATTCAATGCTATATAAATGACAAAATATTTAAAAATTATAAATTTTAAATTGGCAAGCGAAAATATAATTAATAAAGTGTTCAAAACATTTTACAAGAATAAAAAAGTTTACAATTATCACTTTAAGTAAGACATATCACATAATAATCGTGTTTTTGATAAATAATTCAAAACCCCTCAACCAGGCAAAAATTCAGTTCCTTTTAACTATTGTTAATATAATTAAACTATTTGCTACAGGGTGAAAATCAAATTTTAAAAATAAGCCCTGATTTTTCTTGCAAGGGGATATTGGAGGTTTATTCCTATCTTTCCTTTTCAAAATGTCATTTCTTTGTATATTCGTCTTTTGTATTACGGAAATTGTGTTATTCAAGTCTTAATCCTTTTAAGCATTTAGCAATTTATCACGAAATAAAACAATTTCATTACTTATTCATGTATCAATAACATTATACAATTTATAGCTCTGAATAAATAAAATGTAGTTTATATATACGTAAAACATAATTAATGTTTGCAATAATGAAACATATTTTGAATAGAGACTTGGTTTTTTGTTCCATGATCATGAAATCTTTTTAACGGAAGAAAATTTAAAACTTTAACTTTAAAAAGTGAATCTTCTTTCCAAACTCGGAGAGCTTGAGAATATAGACTAATATCTGGAGTTTTTCTTCTGTAAAAAAAAACTATAAAATAAACTACAATGAAACACATCGAAAAATAAATAAGTGTCTTTTTATATTAAAAAATTCACAATCTTATTGTTGTGGTTTTCTAAACGATTCCATCTGAGAATAATAACAAACTAGCTGAAGTGCCTGGCGTTGACCGTGGAATTTAAAATAGTTTTTGAAGTGAAAAAGTTCGATTTTATTGCCTTTGTTACCCCCCCCTCCCGGTACATATGGGTTTCCTTAAAAGTCTCAGCTAATTTGGTCCAGCCAATTGGCCAGTTATTGCTAACATATATATATTAATATGCTCTGATATTTGTTCTGTATATGTCAGAAAATTACTTTAAACTCTAGTTATTCCAACAAGTGTATAAACTATTTTGCATAAGATTAATCGCACCCTGATCTCTAATAGTTCTCTTTAAATCTATTTAATTGAAATATTTTTTTAATCATTATTAACATTAGGTGGAAAAAAAATCAAAACAGCCAAGATCTATTTTCCACCAAATTGCTTTATATTATACAGTTAAAATAAATATATATATATAATTTATAAATTAGAATGAATTAAATTAATTCATTAAATTAGTTAAACCGACAACTTGCACCTCTCTCCCACTTAGAGATAAAAACAAAATAATTATTTTACATTTCGTGAATGCATTTACTGTATGTACACTGTACACTGTGCAGTGACAACCAGAAAAGTGTTGGATAAATGCCGTGTTTGTTCTTGCAATTTTTGTAGTTGATATATCTCTGAAGAATTGTATGGCACTTTTTAAAAATATTTCAGTTGTTGCATTTTTCAAAACTCTTAGCGCCATTTCATAATTCACCGTTCAGCAAGTGATAAAAATTTAAGCACACAGTTGTATAAATCTAGTTTTCTCCATTATTCGTCTTTATAGGATGAAATGTAAAAAACATTTTTATGAAATATCCTAAAATCATGCTACGTTGATCAATGAGTAAGTAAAAAAGAAATCTACATCAGCTTTATAATTAAAATACTGACTAGATTTTAGCTTACAATTGAATAAACGAACTTTACACCATATATGTAGTTTCTGGCATACCAACATATATACAGGGATTTTATATAGACACTTAACTATACAGTAAAGAGTAGGTTATCATTCCTTTCCTTGTTTAGAAGACTCTTAAAAATCAGGATATTTCTTTTAAGAATGCCAACAGTTTTTTATTTAGCTAATGGTGAAAAATGTCTAGGATTATTTGATCCTTAAATAATGTAGATCTCAATGCAGCATACACTAAAGTAATAAATGGCATATGGTCAAGAAGTTAACAAGAAGAAACCCAAGGGTTTTATTAAAGCACATGGATCTGGGAGACTTCTTAAAATGAGAAGAATTTTTCAGCTCCTGTAATTAGAAACTACACAATTTGTACTTAATGTTTGTTCTTAAAACCTACTTCATAGCTGGTGTGAACGGGGAATTATGAAAATAAAGAAGATTACGAGAATTCCACTGTTCTCTGGTTCTTCTTGTATTTTTCTTTTCTTTAAGGTCGCAGGTTGATATGTTTCAACCCTTTATTTCTCGAATTATTCTCGATCTGCACGTCGCAGAATATATAAGGGGAAAAAAGAAAGACTTTTTATTTTAACTTATCCCTGGGTTTGTTCCTTTATACCAATCTCGACAAAGCTTTCGGTGTTCTTCATCAATTTGCAGTACTCTTAGGGAAGATACAGATTTCTGCATTTGTATATGCGGCTTATATATTGGTTGTTTAGTGGAGGGTGATACAGATTTCTGCATTTGTATATGCGGCTTGTACATTGGTTGTTTAGTGGAGGGTGATACAGATTTCTGCATTTGTATATGCGGCTTATATATTGGTTGTTTAGTGGAGGGTGATGTAGATTTCTGCATTTGTATATGCGGCTTGTATATTGGTATACCCGAGACTATANTTGGTTGTTTAGTGGAGAGTGATACAGATTTCTTTATTTGTATATGTGGCTTGTATATTGGTTAAAATCATGTTTTATTTAGACTACAGTTTTTTATATGAAGCAACATTTAAAGGCAAAAATAATTGGTAGAAACTAGAAAGGAGCGTGAAGCATTTTAATGCCAAGTATAATTAGATTTAAAATTATTACCGCGAAAGTTTTCATATTATTACCGCATTAAACTAGTTTCTATTGTCAGTTACCTATTGAATAAAATATAATTAAGTTTATGTAACAACAAACACATAGAGTTCATGCCTCCAACCATTAATAGGTCCAGGAATTAATATGTAATAAGCCTTGTAATTCTTAATTACTTGGCTTAATGTTATACGAACACGACAAATTAGGAAAATAAAAGAAAATTCATGTTTTTCTGAACTTTTCGTTAACAAGTCTATTTTGTAACCAGTTATAACCCTATAAAGGGTAGGGGGGTCTGAATCTATGTATAGACGCCCCCCCCCCCCTATAGAAAAAGGCCTTAGAGAAACAGGATGGTGTTGCAATACATGTTCAATGTTCCTATCTAAATTTTTCAAAACTAGCTCATTAAAAAATTAGTATTTCGTGGTTTGGGTGATTGGGAGGTTTACATGACAAAAAAGGCCGGAAAATGTTTTTAAAAACATGTTTTAAATGCACTTTTTTTGGGCTCTTCAAAAATGTTAATTTTAGATCTGTAGCTTGTATAAAAAAACGTTAAAGCCTATTTGTACAAAAAATTAACACTGACCAGACTTTTGACCGTCCTGTAATTTCATAAAAAGGCATAAAAACTGTTCGTTTAGGGTTAAAAAGTGACGTTGTAAATTTTTGTAAAGTAACGTTATTGGATTTAAGCAAATTTAAATTTTTTTCAGCAAGGGCGCATACACGAATTTGCCCAAGAAAGCACAGCAACCGTTGGGGACCATAAACCCCGTAGAAATCATAGATTTCACAAGTTCAAGAAAGCACAGCAACCGTTGGAGACCATAAACCCCGTAGAAACCATAGATTTCACAAGTTCAAGAAAGCACAGCAACCGTTGGGGACCATAAACCCCGTAGAAACCATAGATTTCACAAGTTCAAGAAAGCTCAGCAACCGTTGGGGCCCATAAACTTCGTAGAAACCATAGATTTCACAGGTCCAAGAAAGCTCAGCAACCGTTGGGGCCCATAAACTTCGTGGAAACCATTGATTTCACAGGTCCAAGAAAGCTCAGCAACCGTTGATGACCATAAACTTCGTAGAAACCATTGAATTCACAAGTCCAAGAAAGCTCAGCAACCGTTGGGGCCCATAAACTTCGTAGAAACCATTGAATTCAAAAGTCCAAGAAAGCTCAGCAACCGTTGGGGACCATAAACTTCGTAGAAACCATTGATTTCACAGGTCCAAGAAAGCTCAGCAACCGTTGGGACCCATAAACTTCGTAGAAACCATAGATTTCACAGGTCCAAGAAAGCTCAGCAACCGTTGGGGCCCATAAACTTCGTAGAAACCATTAATTTCACAGGTCCAAGAAAGCTCAGCAACCGTTGGGGACCATAAACTTCGTAGAAACCATTGATTTCACAGGTCCAAAAAAGCTCAGCAACCGTTGGGGCCCATAAACTTCGT